AATGCAACAATCATACCTCAGATGCAGACTCTCATGCCGTGACACACTCGTGCTCACTCTAGTTACTCTAACAGAAGTGAAGATTTACTTTTTCTTCCTGAGTCACATGCCCTCACATCACAAGTCTAAGAGAAGTTCCCCACACGTAAAATTCAAACAATAAGGAACCAAGGATAGAAAGAATTCACTCACTCTCAGCAAAGAGCATTCATATGCTACACAGACACACCATAAGCTTGTCCCTAGTGTAATACTCTACTAATCGAGCTGTTCAGTCAAAGATCAAGAGGTCTTCATTTGGTTGTAATGTAGGCTAAGGGACGGGTAGGATATATTTGGATATAGTGACTAACCTCCCTAAGCACTTTTAATACACACTTCTTTTTATTTCAATTTCCATTCTCAACCCAATCGTTCTTCCACATTTTTGTTTCACGTGTGACCCCCACTTTTCTTTAGGTGCAACTGGCTTCTCTTCTTTTTTTTTTCTTTTCCTTTTTCTTATTTTGCTTTCTTTGTCTCATTTTTTTTTCAATGCCTGTGCACCAATCAAACAATTCATTCTTGATTCCCCTTTTTTCGCTAACTCCCTACTACCCCACACTTTGACTTTTGTATGTTCTTTAGTGATTCAAGCGCTTCTAGGAGGTATAGGTTCAAACAGTCAAGCTATTCAAACACAGAGATTTAGGTCATTATAGGGTTATCAAAGAACATGCTTCAGGCTCAAAGGGGTTAAGTATGGCGATATATACTGGTGGATTCACAATTATATAGGGTTGCACAAAGAAATGCCTCAATCATCTCTAAAACCAAACAGCTTCTATTTCGCTTTGCAAACATACAGGGCAAGTTCTAGGTATCGCATGCAAGCACAGAATGCAAGTAATATCTCCCACTCACTTGGCATGTAACTCATTCTGAATCAGTTCATCAACACACTCATACGAGCATTCAAGCAAGACAAGATGTGCAACATTAAGGCATGGATTTACGAGTCCACAAGCGAGACTAGACGTCACACTCTCAAGTTCTTTTTAGTTATTTGCAGGTGTGCATATCATGGGTTGTATTCTAGCCTTCACCCATCTTAGTTCTAAAACTACAAAAGGAAAATCTACCTAACCCGGTTCAAGAAAATCCCTTGGAAAAGAACCGTGGTCAAAAGAAAAACCAAGGGGGAAGTATTACACTACCTAGAAGGGAAAAAAATATAAAAATAAAAATAAAAAAAATTCTACATGGACTACTTCCCTCAAGATTACTGTCCAAGTGGTCTGTCCTCAGGAAGAGTCCTCTAACTTGTTTTCAGTTTACATTAATTCCGACTTTGACCCTCAAGAGACCCGTCGACAAGTGTCCGTCGTTGGGCCAAGTCAGCTACTCCTAATATAAGCACACTCAAATATATACAACACATCCATCTATTGCTACAACACAAAAACGTCTATATACATTACAACACACAATCAGAGCAAGTCTCCCACCCCAAACTTAAAATCATGGCATGTCCCCATGTCATTTCACGAAGTAAAGAGCAGAAGGGTTATAAGACTTCCCTGAGACTCAATCAGAGTCGGAGACGGTGCTGGAGTCTACATGGCAAGCTCTCCCCAATGCACGTAACCAGGCCATAAACTGGCTCTCAGATCTAGACTGCCTCTGTGACATGGCATCCATCCGCGTGTGTAGGCCATCCACCGAGGTGCGGAGATCCGCGACCTCTTCCTCCAAGGAACGCAGCATAGGCTGGGAGGACTGTGAGCGGGATAGGCCTGCTCCAGAATGCGGGCGCCGAGATGGTCCGGCACTGTCAGTAGATCTCCTGGACGGTGCAAGAGGAACCAGATCATCATCCTCATCATCTATCTCAATTGTGGTACGTGTACCCCGGCCCACTCTGATGCCTGAGGCTCTGAATGCTGCTCTAGGGGGCAAGTCTCCATCGGCAGGATTGGTGGGGGTATTTTTCAGCAGGCACAGTGTAGTCACCAAAGAAGGGAAGTAGAATCCCTTTGACAGCAGCGGCCCCCGTAGGACCATTTCATCACTAATTACCCTTGCCGCATCAAAATCCTTCTTCGTCACGAAGCACCATGTCTACAGTGCACGCTGGAAGTTCACGTCAGTTGTGTTGCTTGAGGGCAGGAACCGACTGAAAATGACAGTTAACCAACACGTAGCCAAGTGTGTGAATGAGTTGGAGTTCAGGGTGATTTGGTCACGTATCCATGTTGGTCGCCCCTCTGCACAGAGTATATCAGTCATGACCTCCCATGGTGACCCCTGGCCTGTCGTGGTAGTAGTCAATGTCACTAGTGAACTGAGGCAGCCGCAACACCTGGCGAATCATGGGAATTGTGGCGCTGACCACCTTGCCTCGCACAATCACCCCCCTACTTAAGTTCAATGGGCAGTTGGCATAAAACTCCCTAACAAGCATCTTGTTGACCGGGGCAGGGTCATCAAATAAGAATTCCATTTCCCTCATCCGAATTTCTTCATACATCTCTGCCTTTTCTACGCGGAGGGCTGCCCGGTCAAGCGAGATCTCATGGATGAAGTTCTTCGTAGCCTTGGCATGAAAGTCGTCCTCCGCCAGTTCTGATTGGAACCTGGATTCATCATATGTAGGCCGTTGGGAGGCGCCTGCCGATCTCCTTTGCCTTTTAGGAGCCATAGTACCTGCAAAGAATTCAGAAGAACCATCAAATATATCCTTCCGGTGCCAGTTGGATGGGTACTCAGACTTCACCACCCAATGGCAATTTCATTCATACAAAGTGCCCATTTCCCACTACTAAGGTGTTCAAGGATAACAACCTCCACAAAGGCCCCACAATTTGCTTGCAATTTCCGGCATACACCACCCCACACTTATTCCCTCAAATGACTCACGTTAATTACAACACCACCATACACCAATTACAACACCGCCATCCATCCAATACAACACTGGCACAACCTAGGTTAGGCATAAAATGCCCCAAAATTGTACAAAAAATCCCAAATTTTCGGCCAAAAATGGCCCATCACCAAACTACATCACGAAAATATTTTCTAGGCCTCCAAGTCATAAAAACAAACCCCACAATTAAAGTATCATGGAGACCCAACCAAATTAGCACTAAACAACCCCACAAACATCAAATACAACAATAGAAAACATAAAAGAAAGCAAAAATTAAAACTTGAACACTAATCCTAACTAGGTTTACTAAAACTAACACAAAACTAAATTACACTAATTAAGAAGAAGAAATAGAGGGGGGAGGAGAAACATACTTGATGGAAGAGGGGGAAGGTGGAAGTGGAGGTTGGGAGAAGATGAGAATGGAGGTTGGGTGAGAGAGAATGAAGATTTTTTTGTTATTTGGTAGAGAGAGGAAGAGAGAAGAAGAGGAGAAGAAATAAGGGGTGTCGGTGGGTTTTAGAAGGAAGGGGGTTGTCGGTGGGTTTTGTTGAAGGAAGGGGGGGGGGGAATAAATAAATAAAAAAAAGTTTTATCAATTATCTGAACCTGGGCCCGTTTGGGTCTGCCGCGGTTCTGCCGCGGTCGCGGTAGAACCGCGAGAGGTAAGGTTCAAAAAGGTCAATCCATCGCGGTTTGACCGCGGTCGCGGTGCAAACGCAGTGGACTGACTACAGAGAGGTGCTTTGACCGCGGTTTGACCGCGGTCGCGGTGGAACCGCGGTCTGGGCACTTCTCTGCATCTGACGGCTTTTTTTTTTAACAAAAAGATTACACTTACAACAATTTCATGGGTTGCCTCCCACGCAGCGCCTAATTTAACGTCGCGGCACCACTCAGATGAGTAGGCATTTTTTCATCTTGGGACGATAATAGTGGTATTCTGGGGATAAACACATGTGTATTCTTAAAGTGACCAACTGAAATATTGGCGCTAATAACATGCGATTTAAAATCACAGCAAGTCAAACGTGTTCCATTGCATAAACCATCACACGGATTTAAGTTGCGTAATAATATAATTGGACAATTTTGTTTCAATGTCAATTTGTAAGGAGGCAGACCGGGTGGATTTAAACTGTGCAACAGATCCTCAAATTGTGATTGGTCATGATGTTCAGTAGTTTCATCAATACCAATAAAAGTTTTTGATTCTTCTGGAAAAAGAGCAACAAGCATGTCGTTGATATCTTCGACGAAATCATTCTTAGTTGTTAAGATAACGCGGGAACTTGTGTAGCATGAGAAGGAAAAAAATATATGCACATCTGGATAAGTTATCGCGAATAATTTATCCAAAGATTCCTGTTTGGTTGTATAAGGAATGATTAAAGAAGTTGGAATTTCAATCTTGTTTGTTGAGTTTACTTTTTCTTCTCCGTTTCCTATTCGCAACAAATAATTACAGAATGAAGGATCATCTTTCTCTCTCATATTTTCGAATAGCCGCAGCCTTTCAAGTTCTTTCCAAAGATGAGAATATAGTAAACTTTCATTAATGAAATCTTCCTTTTCTCCGTTCCGAACTACCGGCAATGTCTGCCTGAAGTCACCTCCAAGAACTACAACTTTTCCACCAAATAGTATCGTTGAATCCATTAAGTTCTTCAAAAGTAAATCAAGCAGTTCAATCATTCTTTTTTTCACCATAGATACTTCATCCCATATAATTAATTTTGCATTCTAAATCGAACAGGCAACTAAGCTTTGTTTGCTGATGTTGCAGCTCACATTGTCGTCAGTATTTATTGGTATTTTAAAATGTGAATGTGCAGTTCGTCCACCAGGGAGTATAGATGCAGCTACACCAGAAGTGGCAGTTGCCAATGCTATATACCCTTTAGATCGTACAGTTGCCAACAATGCACGATATAAAAAGGTTTTCCCTGTTCCTCCAGGTCCGTCAATGAAGAATGCCCCAGCTTTGTTTGAAAAAATTCTCTCCATAATTATATTGTATGCTTTAAGTTGATCTTTATTCAACCTTTTGTGTAATAGTATATCCTCATTAGTAACCGTGATGGTCCTTTCAAAGTGCACCTCCTTTGCATCTTTTGCCGCTACTTGTTTCAGGAATGAGTTGATATTCATTTATGTCACCTCCCATAGAGTGTAATATGTCGTTAATATGGTTCAAAACTTGGTATCGAATATTTTTTTTGTTAATATTGGATACCAACGTATAATCCTCGGACATATGCTCTTCAAATTCTTCCCAGAGTTGTCTTGGATTCGTAGGATTACAGTAAATCAGTAATGTAGCAAATAAACATCTCAAACTGTATGGCATCTGGTAACTTGCTGCTTCTGACATGCGTTCAAGCAAACTATTGTCACTTTGTAGCAATCCCCGTTTTTCCACTGATTCTCTAAAGGTGCTACAATGTTCTCCATTAACAGTTAGTAAATCCTTATATGATTTTGGTCCTCTAATATTCATTAATAGCATTCTAAGATAATATCGCTCACCTTCCGTTGGATGACATGTTACAACATGACCAATAGCATGTCGTTGTTTCCGAGGTGTCCACATCTTCTCTGTTGAAGACCAAACAAAATGTTCAGGGAATTCCTGGTATAATAGATTGAGTTCCATAGCCTCAGCATTTGTTCTATTCATTTCGAAAAATTGTGTTAACATCGTCTGCTTAATCAGCGGATTATTTACAAGTGTATCTACATTTGCGCAGCTTCTGAATGAAACAAAATGTTGTCCCTTAAGATGAAGTTGAAGAGGGCATACGGTCGGTAACATTTCACTAATCGAGAAACCATACAAGCGCCACATAGCCTCGGGAGGCGACACCCATCTATCAGACTGATATTCCTTTATTTCATCTACTTCTGCGTCTATGTCGTTATTATGTAACGAAAATGCAATCTTGTCATGGACTTTACATATATACTTATAAAGCTACTTAACGACTTTAATATCAGAGCATATTTCAACATTCAGATGGCAGTCAAATTTGGCTAGCAAAAAAGGATTATATGGAACAACCCATGAGTTATCCAAGTATTGTTCTCTTATTTTTACTACCAACCCTGTGTTGCGTCTTCTATAAATTGGGTAAGATTCTATTCCTTTTGATGTCTGGTCCGCAAAACTTTTTGGATACTTGAATTTACAGTAACCTTTTTTCTTTATACAAGAATTTGTTGGGTTTAGATTACCGCATGGACCATGCATTATGTGTTTAAGAACAAGCGAATGTAAATCTGGTTCTGCATTCTCATCAGGTAATTCAGCACTAATAATATTATCGTAAGCCTCTGGAGTAAGTAATTTGTATTCATTAGTTAATATTATAAGAAAATGAGCGTGTGGTAAACCTCGCTTTTGGAACTCTAGAGTATACATAAAAGCTGCTACCTCTCCAAAGATATTTCGCTTTAGTATATCCTTTTTGAATTCTTCTATTTTCGCTCTAAATACTCGGCTGATCAAATCAGGCCTATTATGCGACTCATCTGTTGGAATTAAATGTTCCTTTATCTCCGTCCAAGAGTGGTTACATGTCATAGTTATAAATAAATCACGTTTACCGAAATGTTGCACGAGCGCAATAGCATCCATGTACCGTTGTCGCATATCCCGAGGCCCTCCAATGAAGGAGCTTGGAAGGAAATTTTGTTTCCCAATATTAGAAGCATCGCGTTCACCCAATCGCAAGATGTCAAGAAGTCCTTCTAGCATAGCCGTCCTAAATAAATCTTGATTGAACGCTGCGAAATTCAACCTTTGTGTTTCGAGTTTAATGTATTCATCAACTGAATACTGCTGAAATATTCTTCCAGCATGTAATATTTCATCTTCATCATCATTTCTCATTTGTAATTTGTAACAATAATACTCACGAACAGAAACAGTATCTCTTCGTCGCTGTCCCTTTTTAAGAATTTCATCTTCCATTTCAAGATATCTGTCAAGTGACGTAACATTTCTTATACTTGGTACCTCTTCGTGATGCGCAGTTCTTAAGTACGCAGGACAATTTGCTGGGAGCTTCTTAATACCACAATGCCAGCCACTTTGCCCTAACGGAAATAACAGTGGATATTGCAATGCATCATAACATCCATAATAGTAATTCACTATTTGTGTTCGATCAGTGCGAGGGTAAATTTGAATATGTGGTGCATTCAAAGCTACGCCATTATTTTCCTCGGTCCATATTGCTGCAATTTCAGATGAAGTCGGCATATTGTATACTCTCTGGTCCAAATTTAAGTCACATTTGAGGGCTATGTGGAAATCTTGAAGGTTCGATACATGTACCAAAGATCGTAAAAACGCAGAATATGGGTTTTTTGATAATATATCCATCAATTCTTTGACTACTGACTCGTGAATTCTGTCGGAACATGCCATCCTATGTGCTAGCTCATTGCAATTATCATAAAAGTACAACTGTATATTTCTTGGTTTGTCATCTGTAGGGTGCAAATTATTTATCCAATGGTACATCTTCCCTTGAACTCTAAATGTGTAGATACCAAAGTTTCTCTTTGCTAAATCTTTGTCGTACTTTACACCAAGTGAGGTGAATGCAAAAAGGTTATTATATGTTCTAATATATGTTCAGACGCATTTAGACTCCACATTGTTTCCAAGAAATAAATTTTGCAGCTTGGTAGGCATTTGATGAGAAGTTAACTTTATTGTTCCACTACCACAGCAAAATGCAGGCGGTTCATATTCAAATCTCTTTGCCGCGCAAAATTTGCAGATTGGAACTTTCTTCAGCGGAACATAGTTTGAACGCAACCGACCAGTAATTGGAGCAAACTTTGTAGTTGGTGCACGACCTATATGTTGGAAATAGACGGTTAAAATTAAGGTGAACGAAAGGAAACAATTATTGTTTCAGCAAACAGAAGAAAACCAAACGAACCTCTACGTGTAACTATTTCGGAGTCTTTGTCACGTAGCTCACCGGGTGCTACTGACGTTGAACCTAAGACCAAGTTAGGTGGTCCTTAGATGGCACCAAATGATAACAAATAGTATAAAAGTAAGTGTAGAAGGCGGCTGTCACGACCCAATTTCCAACCCGGTCGTGATGGCGCCTCTCGTGAAGACAAGGCCAGCCAACTATGCAGACTCCGGAGGGGCTCTTACAGCCCAAGCACTATATCATCATAAGGCCTGAAAGCCTGTACATATCAACATGAGGCCTGAAAGCCTTCTCAAAATACACTCGAGGCCTGAAAGCCTCCTCACATATCACCCGAGGCCTGAAAGCCTCCTCACATCACTCAGCATATCCTCACATATGGCCCTCGGCCTCAATCAGTCCAAAAATAATCATAAGCCCCTCGGGCATCAGTAAAGAAACAATAATGCTCAGCTCAAACAATAGTTCAATTATCAGTTAAAACTCAAGGTTGAGTAAAAATATAGCTGAGTTCATGAACAGTGTAATTCAAATGGACTGAGTTCAAATAATATTTCAAATAGTGAGGAAAACAGTGATGATAGCGCACAAGGATTTTAAACAGTCAGCAATAAGCCCCAAGTATGGCAATCAGCCCAAGTCATGATAATATCAAATAAGTTTCAGTCAAATACGCGGTAAAATCAACAACCGGGACGGACCAAGTCACAATCCCCAACGGTGCTCTACCCCACGCTCTCTATCCGGCGTGCAAGTCACCTCAATATAGCACTATGGGTGCAAATCCGGGGTTTCAAACCCTCAGGATATCATTTACAATCATTACTCACCTCGAACCGGTGGAATCTCTAGCTCGCGACGCCTTTGCCCCTCGAATCGGCCTCCACGCGCGTCGAATCTAACCAAAATCAGAGCGAATACATCACAATATGCTAAGGAACAATATCCAATCAAAAACAATCGAAAAATATCAAGAATCTCGAAATTAGCAAAACCCGAGCCCACTTCTCGAAAAATCAGAAAATTAACGTCAATGGATTCCTCATCTTCTCACGAGTTCATACATACCAAGAACTCTCAAATCCGAGCTCAAATGACCCATCAAATCCCAATCTAACATCTCAAAATCCCAAGCCCTAGTTCATCAATTTTAGGCTTAATTTCCATGAATTTCTAGGTTAATTTCACATAATAATCATGTATTTAACTTGGAAATAAGTAGAAACAACTCATCTTTGATGCTTGATGAAATCCCCCTTGAAATTCTCTCCAAAATCATCCAAGCCAAATGAAAGAAATGAAAGAAATAAGCCAAATCCGTGTTTAAAGAATCTGCCCGTGCTTCGTCGAGTTGTACCTTGCACTTGTGCTATACAAGTTGTACATCCTATTAAAATTTTTCCTTGTCGGACACCTTCTGTTTAAACACCCATAACGTCTTGTATTAATATCCAAATGACAAACGGTTTGAAGATTTTGAACTAGACTCGAAGATCTTTAATTTGATAGGTTGTACACTATATAACTCTTTATATATCCCGAGATATGAGCTTCTAAAGTCGGCTCCATGAAATCAGAAAATTCTGGAGAAACTGCTCCACCAGTCATTTTCAATCGATCATAACTTCCTCTACAGATGTCCAAATTACGATTTCTTTAGCTTTCTGGAAACTAGA